ACAAACATACAAAGGAAGTAGAGGAAAACATGACGATAGTAAGGATTAGGAAAGAAAAGGCAGCAGTTCCCTGTTGCAGTTCAGACACAATTATGAGCATGACATTGATGAATCAGCCCATTTACCATTTACAATTCTACTGTGCATAAGAACATGGTTAATATCCCCCCTTTGGGAAAGGCCTAAACTAAAGACACTTCAGTCTGTAGCACTGCCCTAGGGGGTCGCTCATCGCTCTGCTTCATAATAATGAAGTTCAAAAAGTGTTTCTGTATTTACCTTAACGATTTTTAGATAATTAATGTGCTTTAATTCTACGACTGGTTGAGAAAAAAAAGAGATTAGAAAATGAAATCCCGTCAACTAAAAAAAACAAAAACCACAGGGCATCCCAAACGCACGAACATGCTTGGGATAGTTGTGACTAGTGCAAAAATCGTGAATATTGGATAGTAGAGTCAAAGGTACTAGAGAATATTTAGTACAATGGAATGGGCACAGGTCTAGTATTGCTCCCGGGGGGGGGGGGGGGGTTGTATTGAGTACATGTAGCACAGATCTATCTCCACCTTTTTGCTGGAGCATCGTAGGCCTATCCCTGTCAGCCTGGGTTGGCTCCAATAGGGTCAAAACCTGCCTCCTACTTGATCTAAATTGTTTCGATGAAGGTGTAAAAGTAACCTTCTTTAAAAATATATAAATTACCACAAACAAAACAAAAAACGATGGAGGAGTTCAACATTGAAAACAAAGCCAAAAATTAAAAAGGATGAAACTGAAAGGAACACGAGGGGAACATTACGGGGTGTTCTTCATTTGATTCTTCTTACTATCTGCACCGCTTGAAGTTGAAGGTGGGTGATTGGAGGCTGCTCTGATGTGGTTTGCTCCTTCCTTCTTATCAATCAATCATCTGTCGTCCTTATCTCCCCTCCTTTTCTGTGTATGTGACTATCTAGGAACATCTCTAGTCTGTAGCGCTAATACTATAACCTGCTTGTGTTGCAAGTGCCATAAAACTCTCACTAAAACTAAACTAAAACATAAAACTGACTTTTTTCCCAGCACTAAATGAGTAATCTGATGGGGAAATACTGTAAAACTACAACAACAAAAAGAAGTGGCTACAAATACTGCGAGGCAGGGTCAAAAGCCTGCCTCCTAAATGATCTTCTTCTTCGTCTTCTTCTTCTCGTTCATCTCTGAATGGATATCCCTGATTGATCTAAGTTGTGTCAAGGCAGGCGTAAAAAGCCTATTTAAAAGAAAATTCACCTCAAATCTTCAGTGCTCGGTGCTTACTTATTTTATTATGACCTATCTGTGTTGCAGTGCTGTTAAACTCTTACTAAAACTTTGTTTTAGAGGTGGCGTCGGTGGCCTAGTGGTTAGGCTCTCGGACTCGCAACCGTAAGGTCGTGGGTTCGAATCCCGTCAGGGGCCCAACGTTGTGTCCTTGGGAAAGGCACTTTGCACAAATTTTTCTCACTTCACCCAGGTGGAAATGGGTACCCAGCTATAGACAGTG